GGTGATACATTCCCTTTGGTGTCTCTCAGTAACTTTCATTAATGAATAAAACACCCCTGTGCTAAGAGACCAGTCACAAAAAGAAGACCAAAGCAACATGTAGGGGGTCAAAAAATGTGGAGCACACAACCAGATTGGGAGATTATCCTGAAAAATGCTGAAACACCCTTGGTGGTTCACTGTCAATAGCCAGCTCTCAGTGTGCCATTCTGGCAGAGGCGTGGCTACCTGGACTAACAGATCCTGGGATGAACAGAAAGGGAACCATTAGGAAAAATCAGGAAACAGTTTTTGCCTTGGTACACAGAACAGGTAAAATTTCATTAAATGCCCATGTTTAATTCTGGAATCCACATTTCTTAGTGGAAATACAGAGTATGTACAGCCTGAACATTGGTCAAGGGAACCTTAAAAGAAGATGAAAGGGGGACAAAGGCTTAGGTAGGGGATGGACAGTTCAGACTCATAGAAGTGTATAACTAGATCTGGCAGCTGGGAGTGAAGGTAGAAAAAAGTCAGTGGTTCCTCAGTGAAAGCATCATTAATTATTTGAATGGATTATATAAGGAGGCTGTAAATTCAGTATTTCTTGAAGTCGTTAGGAAAAAGCAGTATTTTTCTAGAGAAGGCTCTAAGGCATATTGCAGTGAAACTTCTAAAGACTCTGTGCCCAGAAAATCAAAGAAAATTATCAAGTCACAACATATGGCCTTAAAGTCGACGAGAACAATATTTTTGTCAGTTGTTAGAGTATTATTATCTTTAACACTGTTGTTTATACTTTGACTTTACTATTTGAAAGCTAGTCAGTGCATGCAAATGTCAGAGTGCTCTGAGCAGCTTCCCTGATTGCTTGTTTGAGGAGACGCTATCCCGTGCTTGGCTTTGAAACTTGGCAAGCGCGTCTGATCTGGGAGAGGGGTTGGACGTAGAGTTTCAGTGATAAAATCCAGCTGATGTTCAAAGGGAAAGTCTATTCCCGGAACGCTCTTAGGAGGCCACTGTGAAAAAAGACACCATGAATATTGCTAAGAAAGCAATGAAAGTCGTGTGTTATAAATTTATGTGGTTTTCCCTCTTGTGCAAGTAAATAATACAGGCAAGATCAGAAGTATGGACTTTCACAGCAGTATTTGCCAGCTTGCTCTCCTCTGCCTTCCTGATGCTCACGTGCCTGAGAAGGTAAATCAGGTCTGTCTGTATTCCTGAAATCATTACTGGGGCAAAACTCTTGCCGAGTTATAGGACTGAATCCTCAACTGATCTTGTTGAAAACTACATTCACATCATATCTTCAGCAGAAAGTGAATCCCATCGTGGGCTCATCTGCTCCTCTTACCCCATTGCCTACTTTGGAGACAGATTCCTTCTCTTGGCCCATTTCTGGGCAGGTGGAGCTGGAGGAGCCGACAGGTCTGCGGGACTGAACCCTCACTGCAGCGGTTGCATCCTTCCTCTTGCGGGCGCAGACCGGAGCAGAGGTGTTTGCTGCGGCTGTGAGCGGGGCGAGCGGCCAGGCTGCCTGTGGGGTGGAAGGGGCATCAGCTTGATGTACAGTCAGGGTCCACGGGCAAGTCTGCTGCTCTTCTGTGGGGTGTTCACCTACAATATTAAACACAATTAAATAGCCCTTCAAGGCTTCGGTAGCAGGGAAGAATGAAGATAAATGCAGGCAATTTGGCTTGCACTTTGGATGGCACTTCAGTGTTCACCAGGACTTTTCCTTGTGCCAGAACGCGGAGCTGTAGGTGGGCTGGGAGGTGGTTCCTCCCAGCGTACAGCAGAACTTTGCTTGCCTTGGGTGGCGGGCACCGGTGTTTTGTATGCAGCTGTTCCCTTCTGTGATAGTAAACATTTTTATTATTCAAAAGGCCCCGCAAAAAACTGACACAGAAAAATATTTCTCCGCAGCTTGCCTTAGGTTTGAAAAAATTGTAATTTTGTTCACATTTCTGGCTAATACTAGGTAGAAGGAGTAGGAGTTATACATTACATAAAGAATGACAAACGATCAGAGGAGAGTGAGCACAATAAAATCATTCATTTACTTCAGCTGGAGTGGGAATGCTCACCTGGTAATTGGTGTGTCTAAAGGTCACCAGTGGTACGAGTAGAGACGAGCTATTGTTCTTTGTGCCAGGCTCATTTGTTCCTTTAATAAATGCCCCATTGCAATGAAAGCTGAAGGCCTTAAGGGTAAAACGAGGATATGTAGGTTTGACATAATCTGATCATACAGTGTCAGCAGTGTGATATCAGTGGCAATGGCGGGGGGGTGGTAATTAAAATATTAATTTTTTAATCTTATTTTTGTATGCTTTGTTTAGCTTCCCTATTTCATTTTTGCAGTTGTTTTTACATATTTGGTTGTGTTTTGGTTTTTTTGATTTTAATGTTCTAATTCTTCACACTGTAGTTTAGTTCTTTCATTATTTAAAGGTTTTATCAGCTCCTGAGGTTCTTCCAGGTAGCATCTCTATAGCTTTGGGAGTTATTTGTACATGAAGTCTCCCGTATAAAACACATCTGTGAGATCTGCAGAACCTGTCCAGGTATTGCAGTGATTTTATTGGTGGAGAAATGAAGTTAAATAGTTTGTCTTTTTTTAAAAACACAAAGATTTGAAAATAGTGCCACATAGAAAAACAGCCAAAAGGAAAGGTCATAATCAAAAAGAAACTGCATGAGACTGCACTTTTTTCAGAATATATTTGATTATAACTGTTTGTGTGCTTCTAAAGAGAAAACACTTTGGACCCAGCTAAAGGAACTGCTTAAATGCAGTTCAAAAGCTCACTCAGCAGTGCTGATCCACTGCCTTGTAGGGAGCATTCATTCAGCCTCCAGAAGAGACTCTGAACCCTTGAGAAAAGGAAATTGGCGCTGATCTGGGAGGAAATAGCCACCTTCTCTCTTCTCTCTGTTGAGTTATATTGTGATGTTGATGGGAGTGGAAAGGATAAAAAATAAACTAAAAATCATGTGGGCAACAATGCTGCGTTAGTCAGGATGAGTGTGGGGATGGGCTGAAAACCTTATTAGCAGTCTTCTCTTTCCTGTTATTTCTCTAGGAACTAATTCTGAATTGCAAAAGGCAGCAGCAAGATGGCAAAAGGAGATGCTTGTAGGCTTAATTGAGCTGGTTTGAAGGAATCAAAGACGATTAGCTGGATTAGGTGCTTTGCACCGTTACTGCCCTTTGTGCCTTGGGAGGTAATTCTAGCAGTAGGCTGGGCTGCCCCCGTGGCTTGGCTTCGTGTCTGGCAGTTTGCAGAGGCTGCGGCAGCAACACCTCCGGCGGGTGCTGCGTGCTAACGCATCTAGCATGTTTTGGATGGGCAGCACTTTTAAGTACCTTGTTCAGTATTGGAGGCAGGACACAGAGAAATGAGAAGCAGAGCACTGGTATAAATAGGTGAGGGCAGAGTAACTGGCCAGGCACGAAGGGAAACTGGTTCACATGAAAAAACTTCTTTACGGTTAGGGTGTCAGAGCACTGGCACAGGCTGCCCAGGGAGGTTGTGGAGTCCCCTTCTCTGGAGATCTTCAAAACCCACCTGGATGCAGTCCTGAGTAATGTGCTCTAGGCAATCCTGCTTTAGCAGGGGAGTTGGACTAGATGATCTCTAGAGGTCCCTTCCAACTCTGAAAATTCTGTGATTCTGTGTGATTCTGTGAAAGGATGAGGTTGTTTTACTGTCCTGAGGGAGCCAATAGTTAATAATAGCAAAAGCTGTTCTTTCCTGTGGAGAGGAGGAGGGCAGGGTGGGGGTTAGATAGTTACGGAGTGCCCCTTTTGCCTTATAAATGCACAGTCATATACTGACTTTTTAAACAATTTGTCCATGCAAAGCTCATTGCAAGATCAGGCTTGACTTAAATTACGAACAGGGCGGAAGTGGTAAGTGCAATATGGTCATGTAAATTATTTGGCTCAGTAGCAGGTACTTCTTTGAGTTTCATGTTAGGTAAAGATAATGCATGAAGAGCAGAATGTGATTGCATAATTAAGATGTCAGCTTTCATTTTGTCCTGGGAAAGAACAAACAATGACACTTCTCCGGGAGAGTAAATATTCGAGGTTTCCCAGTGTCAGAGTAGCCTGTTTGTTTTTGTTGTGTACCTCTAAAACCACCATGTCTTTTAGGGGAGCTGTGATTACTCAAGATTACAGGAGATGCGATTAGATGAGGGGGATGTTTGATATGTGGATTTCACCTGGACTCAGACTTCTTACTTTGCATTTAATTGTTAAGAGCTGGGATGTTTGTATTCCTGGAGGTCAGGAACGCGGGTCTGTTCCTGAGGTGGTTACTGATGCGGCTACTGATGTGGCAAAGCGCTGGTGTGCCCTCAAGAGGAATTTGGCTTTAAAGAAAAACAGTCTGTGTATAACGCATCCTCTTCAGAACCAGGTACCTCACAGCCAGTTTTCAGGAATGGATGAGCTCTGTGATCAAGGTTGCTTTAAAAGGAAAAACAATTTTGAGAAACCTTTCTTAATTCCAGTTAAATGAAAGTCCTGACTTTCTGCATATAGGCTGTAGGTCGTTCACTTGTTGTTCCGATAGGAACATATCCTGAAGGAGAGCATGTGGGCCGTGCTTGCTTTTCATCCGGTGTGCAGTACACAAGTCATTCTCGTGTCTTAGGTGCATTTCGTCATGCCGTAACATTCCCTAACCTGGCTGAGTCAAACAAATTTACCTTAGATAGGAGTTTTCATTATGTAACCCCCAATTTTGTATTTTGTCAGAGTTGGTGAAACAAGAGCTTGCCATTTTAGTCTGCCATAAGGTATCCAAGACTTCTTCACAAAATGGGAGAAACTAATAGCTTCTCAGCAGGTTTCAGAGCCAGGCTTCTGCATATCAGGTAACTGACTGTAAACAGTTGTAGTCCAAACACTTTTTCTTTTCTTTTTTTTTTTTTTTTTTAATTCTGTTAATGTTCCTGTACATATTAGTTAGAAATTTTGATGTTTTCCCTTTTCTCTTCAGATGACACTGGCTGTCCTAGTAGCCAGTCAGTATCTCCAGTTAAGACTCCTTCTGATGCTGGAAACAGTCCAATCAGTTTTTGCACTGGTAGCGATGGAGACTTCTCCAGGAAGAAATTCAGTCCAGGGACAATGAGTGAAGGGAATCCGCAGCTGACTCGATATAAGAAGGAGACAAAGACAAGCCTTGTAAAGCCCGGTGAGTACAGTATGGTTCCTTTCATTTCTTTAATTAAACTTTCTAATTAGCTAGTACATCTACAGGTGTCTACATACATTGTGTTGTGCTGCCCATGATACTACTAATGCTGATTGATAGTAAATAAAAAAAAAAATAGTTGGGTTCTTTCTATGGAGCCACCTGCAAGATTTGAAAACACTGTCGGTATTAGCTCCTTCATGGTAATATAATAGGCGTGTTCACTTTCTTTTATGAGGCTCGATGGTGATGTCAAATAACAACTGAAATGGATTTTATCCTGTTTCATGGTAATTGCACACATATTTCACTGTCCAAAGATAAATGGTTCTCACTATCAAAGCAAAGAATTATAGTCTTCTGATGCTAAATTTATTGTTGGACTCTGCCTAAAGTTTACACTGCCAGGCTGTGATGGCTCTGGGGATAAAACATGTCAGACCAAGGCAAGATAATGGGCAGCTTACATGTGGGAGTTAGGCAGGTGTAGATCCGTACTGCGTTGGCTGGATCAAGAGCACGTCTCCCATTGCCTCCTGCTAATGGGCCACCTCAGACCACCAACTAAATCAGCACCTGCTTGTCGCACATCCAAGACTAAATATCCTGGTGCGTCATTAGCTGCTGTAATTTTAATGAGTAGATATAAAATGTTTTTATGATTCATGTACAGGCAGCTCTTGATTACAAATGGTCAGGATATTTTTGCTGTTATTTAATTAATCATGGAGACAGAGAAGCTTTTGACACTGTACAGAGGCAGCTGCAGAATTGACATGGTTTATGAGCTCAGGTACCTTCTGGCTATGCTGTTTCCAGAGTCATTTTACCTCTGGAAGCGATTTAGATAATTTCATGATGAATGATCTCAGATTTACCAGCATCACATTTAATCCAGAAACAGTAGAGAATCTGTTGCAAAAACTCACCACTGGCTTTGTCATTGAAAGGGCTGATTAAATCTGACTTACCACTATCCCTGCAAGTTCTTCAGCTCATTTCATAGCACCGTATTACTTGAGTGTTCCCAGTCTCCCATTGCTCTTCATAATGGATGCTAGGTAATATTTTTTCATGGTTTGTTTTCTGTTCCATTAAAATCAAGGCAAAATGCAGTGAATATGGTATATGACAGTCAAATCTGCAGCCATGGCTACCACAACCATTTTGTATGTGAATATGGATATAGCTTAGCAAAAGGTGGATAAAGAATTTTGAAAGTGTTGTGTTTTTTTTTTTCCACTGAAGACTCCTATGCACATGGAAAAGAGTTATGCACTTGTTTCAATAAATTACTTCATTGGTTTTGGTTATTACACTTAAATTGATCTATAATATCAAGTTATGAGTCTTTTGTAGTAGTAGTCGGAAGTCATCTTCATTGTATTTGGTGGTATTATTTCAAGTCTTTGAATGGACTTAGTTTAGGTATTCAGGTATTCTTGTAGGTGGGATGTTCTGTAGCTGTTGGTAGCTCTGTATCCACTGATCTCTAAGGTTAGAAAACTGGTCTTTAGAGTTCAAGTATATCACTCCTGAGAGCCATCAAAACAGAGCAGGAACTGGGCCTGATTTACTTCTAAATTCCTCCTGCCAAACATCTCACACCTTTTTAGTGGAAAGTTGTCAAAACCCACATCATAGTGTGAGAGCTGACACAGGTGAGGGACATTTCTGAATCTGAGAGCACGCCAGGGGACAGCTGGGGTTCATTTCCCTCACTGTTGGCCACAGGGGTTAATGTAATTCTCTCCCATTGCTATCTCTTGGCTTCAGGTGGATCCAGTCCCTTCCCCATGACCATGTTGCGCATGAATTTCTGGTGACTCAGTTGTGAAGATCTAGGCCTTGTGCAAAGAGGAGGTACCATCACGTAGCAAAACACGCAGGGAGTAACAGGGGAGCAGCAGAAGGGAAGTGGGACGTGGGAGGAGAATAACAGCAATGTGCCCTTGTCGTACGTAACCTAGTTCTGCATACAGTTGCATACCTCAAACTACAGTGCAAAAGGAGTTGTGCATAACATCTTTCTCTCTACCGAAAGCCCTTACTGATTTATGGAGATAATCTCTACTTCATATTTATCTGAAACGTCTTGTGAGAATAACTACATAGCAGGAGCCAGACATGAGAGACAAAAATCCAGCCCACCACTATCTTTTACAGACTCTGTCCTGCGCTACATTTGTAGGCAAGTACATCAGTCAGTGTGCACCTTCAAAATGCCTGTCATTTTGCCGAAAATTTATGTTTCCAGGATTGTTTTCTTGGAACATGCTGAATCTCAGACATAACACTCACACAAATATTTAGATAATTCAGGAAATGTCAGAGTGGGATAGCACTGAGAATGAACCCTGGGATTTTTTTTAAGCTGTTCCCAAGCTCCAATGCTTTTCTGCTACTCTAGCAACATCACTTCATCTTTCTTTTCTATACTTCAAAATATGAAATACAACATAGCGCTTTTTTTTTTTTTCTCTCTCTAACAGCCTAAGGCATTGTTATATGGATCTAAGTCATCTTCATCTCTTGAAGTATTAACAACCTAGATTTGGATATAATTCATAATTTACGTTGTTTGCATAGCAAACCATATTTAATCCTGGAATGCATTATCACTGCATCTTGCTAAACCTTTGCAAGATTTATAACGATGAGGAAATTATTCATTTGGGATAGTTGGTAATGGTTTTTATTGTGCATTAAATTTGAATCACAGCAGTGTCATAGGTGAATTTGGCCTAAAATCTGTGCTGGCTGTCCCAGGAAAGGCTGGAGAGGAGAGGAACATTAAGGAGGATACATAGCATCCACTCCAGGAGAAACTTACAAGCCTTTTAATTTCAGGATTTTAGAAGTTCTTCCTCCTTTTGGATGTGATTCATTTATGCAATATTAAAAGCATTAGAAAATGTGTTGCAGAAAATGCCCTCTCAAAAAGGCACAAAAAGCTTAATTAACACTAGTCTTAATTTTGTACCAAGATGCTGTGCTGAATCCTATGGTTTCAGTAATTGAATAAACAGGAGCATAAACACTTCCAGATATTCACATTCTTGGTGTACTCCTGCAATGATCCATCCTGAATTCAGGCAGCTCATGTGCCCACCTTGTTGAGAATGGTGGGAACTGTTTTGCTTTCTTTGACAGTCTCCCTCATCTCTTTTTTTGACTTCCATTAGAATGCTTGGTGCAAGCATTCAACACCTGGATCTGCAAGCTGCAAAGTATTGATAACCTTCCAAAGACATATGGATAAAGAAGGGAATCTTGGGCAAGAGTTGTGTCAATAACTTTTAAAGGGCTTGCAAGTTTAAAGTAACACAGAGTTGTGTTACTTCAGTGCTGCATCCAGCTCTGGAGCCCCCAACATAGGAAAGACACGGTTGTTGTGCCACAAAGATGATGAGAGGGCTGGAGCACCTCTCCTATGAAGACAGGCTGAGAGAGTTGGGGTTGTTCAGCCTGGAGAACAGAAGGCTCTGGGGAGACCTTATAGAGGACTTCCAGTACCTAAAGGGCACCTACAAGAAAGCTGGGGAGGGACCTTTTACAAGGGCATGTAGTGATAAGATGAGGGGTAATGACTTCAAACCGGAAGAAGGCAGATTTAGAATAGATATTAGGAAGAAATTTTTCATTTTGAGGGTGGTAAGGCACTGGAACAAGTTGCCCAGAGAAGTTGTGGAAACTCCATCCCTGGAGGTATTTAAGACCAGGCTTGATGGGGCTTTGAGCAACCTGGTCTAGTGGGAGGTGTCCGTGCATATGGCAAGGGGGTTGGAACTAGATGATCTTCAAGGTCCCTTCCAACCCAAACCATTCTATGATTCTATGGCCAGAGGATGGACCCTAATCCAACCTAAACCATTCTGTGCTTCTATGTATTTGTACTTAAATGTCTGTAAGCATCATAATTGGAGAAGGGCACCTGATCAGCTGACTGTGTTCAGCATTTCTGGCAAAAGTTCTGGTCTTTACTTTCTTGCTTTCAGTGTCATGGGCACACTTAGGACAGTTTACCGAATGAGCTGAAGTTACTGTTGGAGCTGTCTCTTAGAGCACATGGATTTGCTGAAGTTTCACATGCAATTATTAAGACTTAAGATAAAACATTAGGACTGTCCCAGGCTTGTCCCTTCTGTACCTTCAGGAGCCTGCAGAGTAGAGGTGGAAGCACCACTGCATGAAAAGAGACCATGGTGCGCCACAGTTAGGGTCAGCTTCCAAACTTTGTAAAGGCTGGCTGGCTGTCAGTCATAGCTTGGTTCAATAATAACCATTCCACGTAGCATCAGACTGTGCAAAAAGTTACTATTTTTCACTGCTGATAAAACATCTGGCCATCTATTACTGATTCTGGCTAAAATAGTAACATTTTGGATTATATGGCAGTTGAACTGCAATGGATTGTGTTTCAAGGACAGTCATTGACAACTTTGGCATTAAAACTTCAGTCTGTTCAAATTAATGGACAAATCTCAGAGGCTTTCACCACATAGAGTACCTCCATTTGTTGGACAGTAGGCAATGAGCAGAAACTAAAGAACGTGAAATTCCATATGAACACAAGAAAACATTTTTTTTTACTGTGATGGTGGCCAGACACTGGCACATGTTGCCTAGAGAAGCTGTGGGTGTAGTCTCCATCCATGGAGGTACTCAAAACTCAACTGAACGCAGTTCTGGGCAGCCTGCTTCAGCTAGACTTGCTTGAGCAGGGAGTTGGACTAGGTGGTCTCCAGAGATCCCTTCCACCCCCAGCAATTCTGGGATTCTGTGTTGTCTAGACTTTTTTTCCCTTTAAATCGTGCATCACCCAGATCTGTATTTAAGTAGTTGCAAGGCACAATTTGTGCTTTTCCTGCTCTATCTTTCATGTCTCAGTGCTGCCATTTCACTTATAATGAGTTCATAGAAATGAAAGAATAAAGAAAAGTAACTTTTAACAATCACTATTCAATTTAAAATGTCGTTTAACTTTGAGCCATAGTAAG